TACACAGTGCTTGGCTCTGAGCCCTGACCCAGCTGAAATCCACACCTCCCTTGACTGGATGGACGAATACTGTGGAATCTAGTCCGAGCAATGGGATCATGGGAGTGTGAGCCTTGTTCAGCCCTCCGCCCCCCCCCCCGTGTGTGTGTGTGTGTGTGTGTGTGTGTGTGAAGGTGCAAGGACAAGGCATGTGTGTGGGGTCAGAGGTGAACCTGAAGGGTCTTATTTCTCAGGTGTTTTGTTTTAATTGCCTATGTAAGTCTCCCCAGCATAGGTGAGAAGGAGAAAGAGCTGAGAATGACTGCTCTTGGGAGAGCTGACTGGTTCAGTCCCGTGTGGGCTCTGCTCGCTTCCCCACCTCTGCAATATCCCCTAAGCCTGTGGGCTGTTAGGAAAAACTGGCTGGGTTCAGCCTTCATGCAGTTTCAGTTACTGTTTGCTTTTAGCGTCAACCCCACTCCTTGTGTGTGGGATTCACACACTCCAAAGCTGGGTCTTTCCAGGGTCCATAAGGCCGCAGCTGTGGTTTTGCAATAATGTTTCCCCTCTCAGGCCCTCCTCTTCATAACTTATCTCACCTATCAGGTCTGTCTTTAGCCTTAATTCTTCTCTGTCTTTAAAAACCCCTCAACGTCTCTCCATAGCAGTGGGTTGATGAAATAGACCCATTTCTTCTCTGCCCTGGAATCTCACCTCCTACATACGAATTTAGGCGTGAGAAAGGATGAGATGAAGAGAGAAATAAGATACTGCACCTTGTGTTTTTTTCCATTTGGTCTCTTATTAGCTTACCACACCGGCTAGCCTAGGGATCTGTCTGCCTCCACCTCCCCACCCTTAGAAATACAAGTGTGCTCACTCTGATCTCTGGCTTTGTTTTTAACGTATTTTTGTTTATTCTTTGAGAACTGCATACATGTACAAAATGCGTTTTGATTTCATCCAACTTAATGCTCTCTTTTTTAAACATAAGCTCTAAGTTCAATAAGAGCAGATGTGTGTGAGCCAGCTCACTGGAAGACAGGCAACTTACCTGGGGCCTCATCCTTAGGAAAACCTTACCCCATCCCAGGCTTCAGCTGGGGACAGCTCCTCAGCTAGGGCAGGGCCTCAGCAGTGTCTCCCCAGCCCTCACTGCAAAGCTGCCAGCTTGTTTTATTCAGACAGCCAGAGTCCCTGGATGTTCAGAAGATGCCGTTTTTGCCACTCTTCTCCCTGAACACTGCTTTTACAGTCTTTCAGCCCATCTTTCTATGATGTTCCTTGAGGAGATGGGGGGGGGGTATGGTGTAGACTGTTCATCTCAGGGCTGCAAAATGAAACTTCATCCAGTCTTCTCTGTGGGTTCTGGAGGTCAAACTTGAGTCCTTATGCTTGCAAGGCAAGTAGTTCACTGATGGGCTGTTTCCCCACAGCCTGCCCTCTGTAGATTTCCACGGTCCACTCTGAGTTCTGTGTGATTTGGCCACTGCTTTTACCTTATGATAGCTGTCAACCAACCCATTATTTCAGTGGCTCCCGAGCCACATGTAACAAACTCCAACTTTCTTAGCTTGGGGCCTTGGCTCCTCTATGGTCCAGACTTTCTGGGGCTCTTGCTAAGTTTGCCTTACTATTAAACTCTCTCTCTCTCTCCTCTCTCTCTTTCACTTTTCAAATTTATCTGCCATCTCTTTGCTTTCAGTATAGTATCTGTGATACTTGAAGGCTATGAACATTTTCATATATATGTTTATATATCTTCTCTACTAAGCTTCAAACTCTTGAAGGCAAAAAATGGTATTTCCAGATATTTAATCCCCTCAATTGTACAAGTACCTAGTAAATGTGTGGCTATCTCTGTACGCACACACACACACACACACACACACACACACACACACACACACCCCTGACGTTTCTTACTAAATACAGATGATTTCTGACCCTAGCTCAGTAGTTTTCTGCTTTATGGAAGGGTGAAAGTGTACATATACAATCCTGCTTTTCTTCTTCTTCTCTTGAAATTTTTAAAATTTAAATTGGAAACAAAGTTGTTTTACACGTCAATCCCAGTTCCCTCATCCTCCCGCTCTTCCCTGTCCCCCTTCACCCCCAGCCCATCCCCTTTATGCTCCCCAGGCAGGGTGAGGCCTTCCATGGGGAGTCTTCAAAGTCTGTCATATTATTTGGAGCAGGGCCCAGGCCCTCCCCCGTGTGTCTAGACTAAGAGAGTATCCCTCTATGTGGAATGGGGGCCCAAAGTCCATTCCTATGCTTATCCTGCTTTCTTCTTTTCTTAGCTTTCACTACAACAGTCAAGAAATTAATTACTCGTGATAGTTAACACTTTATTATATGAAGGCACTGGGTTTGATGATTTTGCCCAGCTCCACTGGCAAGAGATGGAAGTGTTCTGAGCACTTGTAAGATGCAGTAGGGTCAGCTGAGTTTGAGACCAGGTGTATAAAGTATAAGTGTTTGTGAGTGCATGTGGGCTGTTGTCACAAAGGAGTGGAGAGAAAACCTTCAGGTCCCATGGAAAGGAAGTGAGACCAGCCGCCCTTCAGTATGAGCTTTATTAGGAGAGAGGGCTCTTTGTAACCAAGGGGCCTTGAGGTTGGAGAAGGAGGCAGCTTAAAGTAAAGAAAGGTAAGAAAGATACCTGTAGTGTAAAATGTAATGGGGACCAGTAGAAGAGGGTGGCGGGGAGGGAGGAGGTGGGGGTAAAAGAGGGGGGAGGGAGGAGAGGGAGCTACCTCAGAGAAACCCTCTTCAGAACTAAGGGCATACACTACGTTTTAAAGGCTTTAGGAAATAGTGGGGGGTTTTATACCATGGGAGTCTATGTGACTCCTGGCACACATGGGGCAGGTGGGACCACATGGTGGGACCACAGATGTATACTGAAGCCACTAAAGGCAGGAGCTTCAAGGCTACCACACAACTTCTCAACTCTCTGTTCCAGAGAGAGTGGTGATGGTAAATCATTTAGAGACGGTGATACAATGTGTGTTCACATACGTGTGTGCATGCATGCGTGCGTTCTCTGTGTGTGTATGTGTACATGTGTGAAGACCAAGGGACAATGTTGGGTGTTGTTCATTGGTTACTGCCCAAGTTGCTGTCTGAGACACAGTCTCTTAAAGGCCTGGGCTCCATCCAAGTCATCGAGGTTGGTGGCGAGCAAGCTCACCTCTGTGCCTCACACATCACTGGGATTATAAATAAAAGATACCAGGTGTCGCTTCTTAAGATGTGGGGGTTGAACTCAAGTCTTCATGCCTGCAGGATAAACACTTTACCAACTGAGATATCTCTTTATACCCTAAAATGCATTTTGACTTAATGAAATCTTCGATTGATCGTGGGTTTACAGGGCCAGCTCATAGTCACAGGGTGAGGAGCATTGCAGGATGATAGTTTTACCAGAAAGCAGCGCGAGCTATTTCGAAGGTTTGGCATGGCTGCTTTGTCGTGTTGTCATCCAGTGGTCTGTTCTCCTTCGAATGCGGAAGTAGGGTGGGCTGTCCTCAAGTCCTGAGCTATGGATAGGGAGTTACTGACCCAATAGATATTGCTGCCTTCTTAATCACACTCTCAGGGACAGGCCAGCTGCCTCCACATGGTGGTCTCCCTCACAAAAGGTCTCTCACGCTAGGTCAGCCCTTACTAGCTTGTGAAAACTTCAGTGAGTGCAACTGTGCATACATTCCCAGCACATTCCCTGAAGAAATGATGCAACTGTGCATACATTCCCTGAAGAAATGATGCAACTGTGCATACATTCCCTGAAGAAATGATGCAGCTGTGCATACATTCCCAGCACATTCCCTGAAGAAATGATGCAGCTGTGCATACATTCCCAGCATGTTCCCTGAAGGAATGATGCATCACTTCCATGCAGTGCTGAGGAAGAGATAAAAAAGCTTCTCCTTGGTTTATGGAGGTATAAGGTGTGTGTGTGTGTGTGTGTGTGTGTGTGTGTGTGTGTGTGTGTGTGGTTGTGTGTATTCACATGTGGTCATGCATGTGTGTCTGCATTACTTCATTCATTTTACCCATTGGTACAGACATCTGACTTCTGTAGTCACCAGAGATAGCATCTTTATTGGTGGCATCTGATTGAGCCTCTTTCAATGAGCCAGTCCCACAGCTTGAGTCATCACTGCTGCTGTTGGAACTGATCCAGGCTGGGCTGGGTGTTGGGCTGTTTTGGTAGGTTTTCTAGGCACTGGGCAGTTAATGAGGTAGAGGAGGAGAGGTCAGATGTGTATAAGCATGGGAGCTGCTTCTTAGTGTTCATAGGCAATATAGCAACCTTTGAGCCTATTAGGGGAAGAAAGGACAGATAGCCAGATAGGAATGTCTTGGACGCCTTTTGGAGACCCAGGGGCTCTAGGACCATCCTATGTGAGGAGGGGTGTGTCTATGGTGGTGTGGGTTCCTCTTCTGTGCCTGCTGAACAGCCACTTGTGCTCACATTCATAAAGACAAAGCCCCAAGCTGTGCACATTGAAAAACTGGAGTGACATCACCACATGGAAGGGAATTAGAAGTCTCTAGTGTTTCCTAGACATGTTCTCAGGAACCCACATAATAGGAGAGAACAGACTCCCTCAAGTTTTCCTCTAGTTGATACGTGTGCAACAGCCCTATCCACACACACAATAAACAAATATTATGAAAACCCACAAATACTCTATGAAGACATGGCAGGTCTCTGGCCAAGCCAGGAGTCACAGTCTATCTGGCTTTGGAGAAATTTACAGACACCTCGCCCGATTCAACTCTGCTCTATTATGGTATTTTCTGGGCCCATCTATACCAGACTCTACCTTTTGTTAGTTTTCTTCCACAGTTATTTTCTTAGGCTGCCATTGTGTGGAACAATCTCAGATGTGGGAAGATAACAGTAGCTGCCCCCATCCATAGGAGCTTTCTGAAGTTGTAATTATTCACGACCAACTGTCATCTGAGAACATTAAATAAAAAAATTCCAGAAATAAATGATTCATGGTTTCAAAAATCTTTTATTACAGCTTATGGTTAAAATTATGCCATTTTACTGTGAGTTACTGCAGTTAATTTCTTACTGTGCCTTATTTGTAAAGTAGATCTTAACATAAATGTGTGCAGAAAAGTCAAATACAAGGGGTTTAATACTGCCTTTGCTTTCAAGCATCCTCTAGGGGTCTCTAGATTAAGGGGTGACAACTGTAGCCAACTTTTAATTTCATAGATGAGAACATAGACACCCACCAACCTGTGGTCATCTGCACTTGGCCAGTCTCTTGTTATAATTAAATCCCTGCTTCTCTTCCCCACAGCATTCCCAGGGCTCCCAGCTCCTCTGACTGGTGGTTATACTTGACCCGACTGAGCTTGCATCCTCATTAGCTTCCAAGGGAACATCACGTGGGGCTTTTTTTTCTTTGATGGAGTCTAGGTGGAGACAGCTCAGCCGAGGGGGCTCCTGAGAAGATCTGGGTACAGCAGGGGCAGTCTCTAAACTCAGCCATGCTGGTCTCAGAGCAACTGCAGGGCCACTGGCAATCTTGCCTGGAAGGGTCGGCTAATTAGTTCGCTTTCTCCCTGTTATTCATTTCAAATTGGTGGTGTATCAGGATGTTTTGAGGTGGTGCAATGATAAATTCTCATTATCCAACACAGGCAAGCCATGAAGGCAGTGTGTTAGTGACACTAGAATACAGTGGTAACTGATGTCTGATACTTCTGTTCCTTCCCACAATGCTGGGAGTTAGGAACCAGGGTCACACAAGTTAGCATCATTTCCGCTTGAAAAATGTAAAAAAAAAAAAAAAATGCCAACGTTAAAGCCAGAGAAGTCAACTGCATGGCTTAAGGTCCTAAGAGCAGTACAGAGGAGCTAGGACCCAAACCCAGGGCTGATGGAGTTCTGCTGAGCACAACTCTTTTTCTAATACTATTTATCAAGAAAGCAGTGCGTCAGCCAGTGGCCCAATTTCTGGGCTTCATCTTTCTATTTGTTTTATGTAGCTGGACCAGTGAGGGGAAAGGTCATTCTTCCTCCTGTCTTCTTGCCAGAACTGACATATTCTTGCCCCATTCACACAGACACAATGTTATACATGAGAAAAGCCAGCAATGGGAGGCACTCACTGTTTCTTAGACACGTAGTAGAGTAGCTCCATTTGATAAAGAATGCTCAGTTACATTGCAAATTTATTTGTTACCATTTTGAACTGGGTTGATGGGAGATGAAGACGCCTTTTAGCTCTGGCACCTGCTGTTCTCCCCAAATGTCAAGGAATGACACCTGATGCCAGTATCCCCAGTCAGCTTATAGATGCCACACTTCTATACATCCCCATGTCCAGGCCCAACCAACCCATGCACAATGAAGAGAACTTTCATCCCAATGAGATGAGCCCTGCATCGTACAGGGGGACCTGTGTATCCAGATGTTCTCTACCCCTTGTAGAGCCAATGCCAGCCTCTGGGTGGCCATTGAGTCCCTGGGAGAGGTGCTCTACACCTTGATTCCTCCCATCTGGATCAGGGTCCTGGCAGGCACCCAGTGTTCTGCAGTAAGGGTCTTGGGGTGCCCTTGAGGGCTTCCTGGTACTGATAATGGTAGCACATAGCGGGTGTGCTTTCTCTCCTGCAGCCAGAAAGAGCTTGCAGGGAGGTGAAGTCTGCTTCCCCTCAGATGAAGTATTCCTTCTTGCTGTTGTCCCCAGCATCCTGGAGGGCAGGGTCACTTTGCAGGGCTGCATCGGCACTCTCAGCAAACTCTGTGCCTTTGGCCTCGTTAGTGTGGTAGGTTCCCTTGTGCCTGTACAGGTACCGAAGCATGAGGAAGAGGAGGCAGACCAGGACCAAGGCCACTGCAGTGATCACAGCTGCAAGAGGGAGATAGGATGCAACTCAGTCAAGTCAGGCTGGGCCATTGTTGCAGTATGACTTTTTCCTCTGGGCATGCCATCATGCTATCTTGGAGTAGAGTATACCTTGGCAAGGCCAGGTAGCCACAGCCAATCAATGAAATAATACAGTGGTATCTGGGTCTATAGAACTACTGGCCATAGGAGAAGAGAAGATCACAAGAGGATCACCTGGGGGGATCTCTATTTGCTATCTTATGTCAATGCATGGCCAAGCATGTATGTGCTTAAAATCAGATGCATCATAGGAAAGGACATGCATAGTATACAAAGGCTCACATAACGAGAGTCCATCAAGCAACACAAAAATTCACCCAAATACTGCCCAAATGTGAGCTGAACAAGGATGACTCCAATGAACTTGTCAAACTGGACTGAAAAAAAAAAATCCCTGTGAGGTCTCAACCCTACACCCTACACAAAGAACTATAGGCAAGTGGGGAAAGCTGGGAGTGGGAGAGGTGGTCCTCCCCAAGGAAAAGTACACCAACTGGTTGACTAGTGCCAAATAGTCAGCCCTGGATACATACACACAAGTAGCACTATATGAACTAAAACTAAATTTTTAATATATATGTATATATTAAAAATTAGTATAAAGGCCATAAATTTAAAGGAGAGTGGGAAAGAGTATATAGGAGGGTTTGGAGGGAAGAAAGGGAAGAGTGAAATGTTGTAATTAAACTATAATCTCAAAAGAAATTTACACAGCATCCTGAGCATCCAAATTTCCTTTCCCCTGTTTCCATAAAAGGGAAGGTGCAGGAGAAGTCTCAGTTGAAGAAATGCCTTAAGCAGACTGGCCTCTGGACATGTCCATGGGGGCATTTTTTTTTATTACTGCTACCACTGAAGGTGGTTCCATCCCATGGTAGGTGGGCCTGGGCTCTATAAGAAACACAATTGAGCAAGCCAGAGGAAGCATGCGGGTCAGCAGCTTTCATCCATGGTTCCTGCCTCTGCCCTGCTTGAGTTCCTGCCCTGGCTTCCCTCAATGAAGGACTGTGACATGGAAGTATAAGCTAAAAAAACCCTTTCCTCCCAGGATTTCTTTTGGTGGAGGCATTTATCACAGCAGCAAGAAGCAAACTAGAATAGGGAAAAAGCATCAGCCATGGCCTCTCCTTATTCCACCCAGATACCGAAGCCTGTTCTGGTCAAGGCCTTTCTTGGCATGTAGCTCACCTACAATGATGGCAATCTCCATCATGCCGTAGGACATCCCTGGGTCAGGCTCTGCAGACAAAAGTGAAAAAAATATGGTGAGAAAGGAAGACTCCTCACAATCAGAAGCACCTTGGCCAGTATGCACACCCGATCATTTGTCAGCAGCTTGGTGACTGTCTGCATAGAGGAGAGCACAGTGCATATGGACCACTGCTGGAAGGCACAGACCCAACTCTGCCTGGCTACTGAACCAGGCTGAGAACACCCCGTGAATCCTGGGGCACTCCAGAACCATGTCAGCTCCCCATTAAATTCCAGCAGAGATACCTATGCCTACATGTAGGTGTTGGTTGACTTTTCCACCATGGGTATACCATGTTCACCATCTTGGAATGGAGGCTACCTTGGCCAGGTATCCATGGCAACTCGATGAACAGAAAGATACATTTGTTTATGATAATGGCAATGGAGCTTTTGACATCCCCTGATAGAAGGAGGGAGCAGGTCTTGGGACTCTCAGATGAGATTGCAGCCATTATGCATTTTTGTCTTCTCCCAGCTACAAATAATCTTTGGAGATACTAGAGCATACAGGACACAGAAGGTTAACAAAAGTGGACTTCATGACACAGCTTCAATGAGTTCCCCATCCATGATATAGATGTGGGACTTTGTGGTGATGCTACTGGTGTGTGTGTGTGTGTGTGTGAGAGAGAGAGAGAGAGAGAGTGTGTGTGTGAGTGAGTGTGTGTATAAGTGTGTGTGAGTGTGTGTGAGTGTGTGTGTGTGTGTGTGGAGTGTGTGTGTGTCTCAGTGTGAGTGTGTGTGTTTGTTGTTTGTATGGGTATGTGCATGTTTGTAGGTGGGTGCCTGTGTACTTGTGTGTGTGTGGAGGCCAGAGTTCTTTTTTGGTAACTCTGAACCTTATTGTTTAAGATAGTATCCAATACAGAACCTAGAGCTCATTGATCCTGCTAGGACAGTTGATCACTTAGTTGCATGGCTCCTCTTCATTCTGCCCCTCTACTGTTAGAGATGCATCCTACTATATCCGTCCATTTTACATGGATTCTGTGGATGCAAATTCAAGTCTTCATGATTGCACAGTAGGCACTTGGACAGGTGAGCTATCTCCCCGGGCTCTGATGGGTCTGTTTTTGGGTTATCTATACTCCTGTAGGTAAATGTTCACTCATGCCCTGGATAAGAAAACCCCTAAAACTTACTAGTTGGCCAGGTTGGACTTTGATAGAATCATTACCTTGCTCTGCCATTGGAGCCATATTTGGGGCAAATAGACAATGTTCATATCTTTCCCAGGAAAAGTTAGTGCAATGTCACTGCATTGGATCACAGAGGTCCACATTGGTTAGATAGTCAGTAGGCTATCTGTGGTAGGAGGAAGATCTGCCCCATTGTGTTTAACACAGGCCACTTGATAGTTGGCTCACACCACATCTGGCTTTGTTATTACCTTGCTTCTACTATCTCAATGGTCTTCCTGAGAGATGCTGGTCAGCACCAGCCATTTCATAGTTTGAACACTCATGCTCAGCTGTGGGATGTGCCTGTGGTCACACAGTTCATTCAGTGGCAGTCTGGGACTTCACTCAATTGGGGTATACTTTTAGCCTCTCCCTGAGTAGTCTCCCCAAACCCAAGTCTTTGTATTGACTTTCCAGTGGGGAGGGCCACCCTGTGGAGATATCCAAGTTACGGAAGTTGCTGCTTATGCTTTTCTGCACTAAAGGGAACCTCCTTTAGTGGTACTTCTAGCTACTAAGCATGAAATCTCCTCTCGTTGGGGACAAGCGGAGTAGAGGATTTATTAGACTATGGAGATAGCAGTACTAAATAGGAAATCTCACGACAAATTGAAGTAGAGAAGGCCACACTAGGCTCAGGCAATATCTGCAACTGTAGTGTAATGAGATCTTTCTTCCCAGGGTAGTTACCATGTACATGCCTCTATCTGATTAAACACTGGCGGCTTGAGTCTGGAGAGGCAGTGGGTAGGACAGAGCCAGAATAGTAGCCTGGGGTCAGCACTGAACTCCATGGTAGGAGGATTAAACCATGTATTACAGATATCAAGTTAGCAAATGGACAGGGTACACACCTAGGGGTAGGGTGGGGGCTACTGGAACCAGTATCTGGGCTCTGAGTTTAGTCCAAGATGTTCCACAGCCCACAAGCAGGAAGAAACAAGTTCTACTGGATGCTGGACACTGACCCAATATTGACAATGGAAGCCTGAGACTGAATATGGAGCATAGAGTAGGTTCTGAACATTCATCCCACACATGAATGAATCCATGTACATGAATGGATGGCATTAGTAGCTGGATTTTGGGCCATTTTCAATCACCTGTACCTCATAGATCAGTAAGAAAAAAAACAGCATTTGCTTAAGAGCACACATAGCTATGAAGTTCAAAGACCCAGGGCCTCTTTCATGCCAGGCAAGTATTCTAACACTGAGAGATGTCTCCAGACTCACTCACTCTTCTTTTAAGAGAGGATTATGAGGTCAAGAATGGTGGCACACACCTTTGATCTCAGCACTCCAGAAGCAGGAGCAGGGGAACGCTGTGAGTTTCAGCTTCCAATTCCAAAGGGCCTGGGCAGGTTCACTTCCCAGGCTCTGCTACCCTTATCTTCTAGGCTCAGACTATATCCACCCCACAGATTCTTTCCTCGGTGGTCATCCTACATATGGCATCTTCAAAGATGCTGGGACCTCTACTGCAACTTGGCTACACCTTCACCAATAGCTTCTCCCAGACTTTCTCAGGGTCTCTGACCTTATCACATGGTGCCAAGATTCATATTCTCTCTATGATCTCTGCAGTCCTGGGGCTTTTACTGCAATGGAGGCTGCACATTTACCAATTGTCTCCCCTAGCTTCTCACAGTGCCAAACCCCAGATGCTGTCCATGAGTAAAACTGGCACTTCCCTAGAAGACACTTACTCAGTACCAAGTTAGGCTGCCAGCATGAGATGCAGCCTTGGTCCTTGCTGGACCACAGCTTCTGTGTGCAGAACCTGAGGAAATCCTTCTAGAAGATTTCACCACAGGGATGCTGGTTTCATTTAATTACCACTCATTTCTCAGCCCTAAAGGACCAGCATCAATTCTCCCAGCAAAGCAAAGGTTTCACATTAATGGTTTTTGTCTCTTGTAAAACACAGCTAATTCTTCATCCCAAGCTGACCAGAGCATCAGATTTCTAATAGCACACGAATGGCCCTGATACAGTCTTTCCTTCCCTCGGAAACTTTACAAGTCAGGTCTCCATCATCTACTGTTCTCAGTATTGTCTTCTAAGTTCCCACAGAAGAGCCCATTGGGCTCTCAGCACCCAATAGATTTTCTGATCTAAAATTCAAATGCCTCCACAATCCTCCCCTAAACATATGGTCAGGTCTGTCACAGCAATATTCCCTGAACCTGGTACTAATTTCTGTCTCAGGGTTTCTATTGCTTTGGACAGCCTGAGACTGGATACTGTCCACTTGGTAAATACTGAATAAATATCCAACTAAGATGTGAATGAATGCATGCACGTATGAGCAAATGGATTTAGCAGTGGGAGTTCTGTGTAACATATAAAGAATATATATTTAGCTCACAGTTCTGGAGGCTGGAAAGTTCAAAAGCATGGTGCTAACATCTGCTGAGGGGCTTATGGCATCCTTAAATAGCAGCGGGTATTCTGACATTGTTATCCTCTACACAGTACAGTCACCTTCTTCACTATGGAAGCTGTGACTATTTGCAAGACACCCTCAAGATTGGGCTTATTGACATTTTCTCAGAGAGATAGGCAGTGGGGAGGGTAGTTAGAGTCTTGCCTGGATTTCAGGTAGTTCCTCCTCTGCACCCCTATGATTGATGTGTTGTGGCGAGAGCCTGGGACTCTACAAAGCCAGATTTCCAAGACAGGTGTCTCTGTTATGGGAAGACATAGTCCTGTTACTGGAAGACACAGAACATCTCTGAGGAGATAGACTTGGGCTCCAAAGGTCACATCAGGATGGGCATCCTTCCTTGTGTACATGCACATAAGCATGCATGAGCGTGCGCGCACATACACGAACACACACAATAAACCACAAAATAAATAAGACAATGAAAAAAAAGAAATTCAGGGCATGTCTTTGGGATATGAGAAAAGAGATGGGCCTCTGCTGGAATCCAGCAGAAGCTTTTCAAAACAGAATAAGAATTATAGCATAGTTGCTGACTTCTTACAGCCTTTCTCTTTCCCAGCTATAAACCTGCAGTTCTTTAGAAATCTCACTAGGAAAGGGAATGTATCAAACTACTTGTGAAATCCTGGAATCCTTGGTTTTTACCTTGGCAGTTTACACTTCCATCCAAGACATCTCTAGAACCAGCTCACTTACCTCTCTTAGCAAAAGACCAAGACGGAAAACAAGTTTCTTAGCAATCTCTAGAGATATAACTTGAGGTCCAGTAAAAGAGTGTGTATGGTATGATAGCTAATCTTGGTTCATGACTGCATCCAAAATAAACAAACTCAAGCAGCTGGATACATCTGTGAGGGATTTTCTTAATCAGACCAGGCAGGAAGACCCACCCTAAATCTTGTCTGCACTTTGCAGTGTCAGCCAGGATAAAGGAAGAATGAAACTGTACCATTTAACCACTTGCCATCACTCTTATTGGCAAGTCTATGTATTCTGTTGCTGCAGTATCCTTCATCAATATTAGAACCCACTTCTTTGGGATTCCAATGTAGACTAGAGACCAGCAGCTCTACAGGAATGTCCCAGGATTCCAGTGCCAGATTGGAACTGTGGGGATGTTCAGTCCTGAGTGACTACAGGATTCTCAGCCTCTCCAGTATGAGACTGTAATTATTGGGACTACCTGGACACAGCCTATGAGCCAATTGAAAAAGAAAATCCCTTTAAATATACACATTTCTTCTATCAGTTCAGTTCCTTTAGAACCCTGACTAATACAAATAGATAATGCTACAACAATCACTTGTTACTCACCTTGAAGAGCTCTGAGAGACTTGGGAATCATCTTACTTT